GACTGGGGTGAGAATAAGAAGAAATGACAAGTGTAAAAGCATTTTAGAGACCAACTATCCCTTGGAATACCTAAAAGATGGTAATTGTGATATTTTCCTCTGTCCTCTACTAGGGCCAGCCATACTCCTCAAAGACCATGGAAGTAGCTCTCACTAGCATTGAATTCACATCATTCAGCTATAAATCATCCTGGATCCTGGAGAATTCTCTGCATAGAGTCGTGGACTTATCACTTCAGCCTGCAGGCTTTGGATTTATTTCTGGCTGCTGTGAAATACCTATCCCCATCCTGCCTTCTGCTTTTACCCCAGGCCCTGGTTTGTGTAAAACCCAACGAAGGAGCCGGTAACATCTCAGGACAGAAAGGGCCAGGTTGGGGGCTTTCCTGAAAATCCAGTGGTTAAGAATCCACCTTTCAATGCAGGGGACGTAGGTATGATCCCTGATCTGGGAACTAATATCTCACAAGCCCTGCGACACAGACAAAAAAAAAAAAAAAAGGAGAGAGAGAAAGTGTCTGCTCAGGGAAGTGCCTTCTAGGGACTCACACGAGAGCTGGAGACATGGTTTGGATATTATGCTAGAGAAAATGAAAGCAGGGGGATGGGGAAGGACATGCCTGGGGTCTCCAGAAGTCAGTCATAGAGCCAAGATAAATCCCAGGATGCCTGACTCTCATCCCATCCACTCTAGCTTATGGCCACCAAAGCCCTAAACCATCAGAGTCCCCCTAACATTCTTTCTCATCTCTCTCTATCCCCGGACACCTAGTTCAGTGTAAAAATTTTCTCATTATTCTCCAAATACATCATCTGACTTTAACTCCATGCATTTGAATGTAATATGCCTTTTTGTGCATCCCCTTCTCCCACTTGTCTAGGAGGTAAACTCCTATTCATCCCTCAAGGCCCATTCAAATGTCTCCTTCCCTCAAATAAAATCTAAACTCATTTTATCCAGAACCCATTCATCTCTCCTTCCTCTGTGCTCTTATAACACTTTCCTTATACACTAATTTTGACTACTGTCTCCTATAATGGTCTATAACTATCTTAGTTTTCACTAGACTGTATTTTTCTCTAGAACATGGATTATTTCTACTTCATCTCTTTGTCCTCAGGGTCTATCAAGGTGTCTAGAACTCAGCTGGCACTCAAACAATATAGATCAAACAATGGAACAAGTGAAGGACTATGAGGCAAGTTTTTAACCTTTCAGAGTCTCTATTTATTTATTTGTCTGTACCTTGAGGTTTGCAGGATCCTGCAGTTCCCCAACCAGGGACTGAGCCCTTGGCAGTTAAAGCATGGAGTTCTAAGCACTGGACCATCAGGAAATTCCCTTAGAGTCTTAGTTTATCATCCTTGACATGAAATGAAAAAAAGTCAAACACTTGGCAAGGATAAACAGTGGATAATGAATGTAAAGCAAATGGTACCATCATTGACTCAGTTTCCTGAGCCAAAAATAGGGTATCACATCAAATTTCCACTTCTCCTTCTCCTTTCCCTCTCCCCCTAGCCACCATGCCTTGTTGAACCTGGCTGAGGATCTAGGTAAGAAACTGTTAGTGGGGAATTTCCATTAGACCAGAGCCATCAGGAAGGATGGAGGTAACGAGTGCCAGGCATAGGGACCTTGTAACTAAATTAAGAAGCAGAAGGAGCAACTGATGGGAACAGTGACGGAGAGATAAGGGATCGAAAAGACGGGAGAGGTCAGACTGGGTTCTGAGGATTTAGAAACCACTCAGTGTCTGCCCTCAAGGAGCTCATGGTCTGCTGAGGAAACAGAAATAATTTAAGACAGAACCCCAGTACAGTGCAGCACTACCTCCTTCCTGATACCCTTTTCTTTACCTGGCTTCCAGGACACCACCCAGCTTACCTGGGTTTCTGCTTATCTTTTTGGCCCTTCTCAGTCTAGTTTTCTGCTTTTCCTAGTTTCCACAAAGTTCTGAATTTTGAAGGAAATGTTCTTTCATCTACACTCACTCCTTTGGTGGGCTCATCCACTCTCATGGCTTTAAACACCAATCATGTGCTGATGAATCTTAAACTGCTATTTCCAGTCTTGATCTCTTCCTCCACCTTCAGAACTATTTCCCCTCCCACTCCCTCAACATTCCTAAAGGACATCTCAAACACAAAATTGACTCCAGGTGTTTCCCCCCAAAACAAGCACCTCTCACGTCTTTTCCTGCTTCTGCCACTATCCCCAACTGAATTTCTCTTTATAAAATTGCCAGAGTAACTCGGTTCAAATGTAAATCAGATTGTGCGGATCCTCTGCTCATAACCCTTCAAGGGATCCTGAACATGGGGTAAAAGCCAAAGTGCTATTGTGATCTGTGAAGCTGTCCTCTCTGACTCATATCTCTATCCTCATCTTCTCCCCTTCACACCATAAAACACTACGCTCCAGCCATTGGAGGCTCTTTGCACTTGCTCTTGCCTTGGTGCTTTTCCTTAAATATCAGAATAGTGCCCGTCTTTTTTTCTTCTGAACTTTTACTCAAAAGTCACCTTCCCAGTAAGGTTTTCCTTGGCCCTCTAAGATAAAACATCTCCTCTACCAACATTTTATTCCCACTTCTCTATTTTTTCTCCTCAGTATTTACTACAATCTTAAAACTATATATTTTATTTAGCTATCTTTTTATCTCATTAAAATGGAAGCAGCATGAGTCTCTTCATGATTCTGTTACTGTTGTTCTGTTTTGTTCTCTATTGTACATTCTTTACTTAGAATAGTGACAGGCATAAAATAAGGTACTCAGTAGATACTGGTTGAATGAATTAAAAAAGAGGTGGACATTTCCAAGGGGCAAATTTTACTCTTTAATGAAAAACTTTATAACCAGAACTGCATGGAAACAATGTGAGTCCATATGCACAGTACACTAACTCTTAAATATGTTATCTCATCAAATTCTCACATCAGTCCAAGGTAGGAAGAAGCCTGGGCAGAAGAGAAAACTCAGTCCAGACATGTAAAAGGGGTTTGTTAAAAGGCACACATTTGGTCAAGGCAGTAATGAAACGATGGATGATTGCTGGCCTTGAAATGGGCTGGTGGGTGATGGAGTTTAATGGGCACTGGGTTTGAAGGACTTCCGTTGCCAGAAGGTATTATGATCTCTGAAGGGGAAGCTGAGTCAGACAGAAGTTAGTAGAATGAAGGCATCAGCAAAGGAGTGGGAGGGATGTGACAAGGATGACCCCTAAGAGCATTTAGCCCAGACCTGGAGAGGGCAGCTCAATTCCAAGTAGCAGAATGCTGCACCTGAGACTGAGTAAACACTCAAGCCCTTACAAAATCTGGAATGCAGACCTCGAAAGGCAATCTTGAGACCACTGAAAGGACTTCCCTGGCGGTCAGCGCTTCCAACGCAGAGAGCGCTGGTTGGATCCCTGGCCGGGGAACAAGATCCCACATTCCCTGGGGCTGCCGTTCGCCCCCGCCCCCCCCCCCCCAAAAAAAAGACCAGGGAGCCCACAGCAGGTCTGGAGTCTGGCTTCCCTACTTGACTCTGAGGTCTTTGAAGGCAGGGACCATGTTCCTAGATTTAGCCCCCGCTTCTAGCAGGGCCTGGAATATAGAATATAATAGGGACTCAAATATTTCCGTTGAAGGCATACATAAATGAATGTATGCACCCAAACGGGAAACTGAAGTAGACAAAGGACAGACGGGAACGGCGAGGAGTAAAATCACCCAGCGATTCTGAGGTAGACTAATTTTCCTGGCACGCAGGACAAACACTCCAAGTCCTAACGCCAGCTATTTTTCAGCAGGGATTGGCTAGCAAGTACTGCCTGGGGAGAGAGAGGCGGGGCTGCACGGGGCCGTTGGGGCGTGACCAAGCTGGAGAGACCGATTGGCTGACACTCAAGGCTGGGCCGACAGAGCTGGCGCGCCAAATTTCCACCCAGCACGTGACCAACAAATGGAACGTCACTTCCACTCAGGCGGGGCGGGAGCGGGAAACAAAAGAAGAGCAAACACGCATGCGTTTGGTGTGTCCCAGGTTCTGGTGGGCTCTTCCGGTCAGGCAGAAAGAAGTACTTCCGGGTCGCCGCCGGCTGCCGCCTCCCGGCGCGGTAAGTACAGAAGCTAGGCTGCGGCTCCTGTCTCCTCGTCCCTCCTTCCTTCCCTTTCTCCAGAGAAACCCCATTCTCCTGATCCGCCTCCTCAGGAGCTGCCTGTTCACACTCCCCTTAACATCAAAGCGCTCCAACTCATTGGCCGCTTCCTCGAGAGTAAGCCCCACCCCGTCACACAAGACCCGTCACTCATTGGTACCACTTCCAGTCACTCAGCATTTCTTCCAGTTAATTGGCCTTACCCAGGCCCCGCTTCTTTCGCGTTTAGCGACCCTATAAGGACAAATGCCTGCCGGAATCCCGCCCCTGCCTTCTTGTTGGTCATTTCCACTATTATTATCATAATAAGCAGAGAATGGGTGGTGGCTTTACGGCGGTGGGTTGGTCTTTCGGAGCCGTGTTCTATGGCTCTTCAGTACTTCCTTGGTTGTGGGGGTGGGTGTTATTGATCCTGTTAAATGCGCCTGGAAGCTGCGATACACGGAAGGGCAGCAGCTAGCCCCGGATTGGTCAAATAAATTAGGGCAAGAACAGAATTACGCATAGATTCTTTTCTCCTCATCTCTTGTGCCTGGCCTTCATCTATTCCCCGCAAGCGTTCTGTGCCCAGCTTACCGTGTGTTATGCCCGATGTCCGAATCCCCAAGCGGGAAGAGAGAAGGCTTCCAAGACAATGCAACTCGCAAAAAAAAGGGAATTACTGACTCGAGCCAGGGCTTCTGCCGCAACCGATGCAGTGGTGCAGGGTCAGAAAAAGCCCCGAGCCCCAGCTGTTACATAAATTTATACGGTGAACATAAGCAGTTGGTACCTGGCTTAAGCGGATTGGTTACATGTTTGCAAAGCAATTCTATTGGTACGAACTTTCGCGGGCTTTTGTTCAAACTTAGGCGTTCGGGGGGCTTTTCCGCTTTCCCTCATGTTCCCCTTGTTCCCTTTTGGGCGCCTGTTGATTGGCTGACTCCAGGCGGCCCGATGGGGGCGGGGAATCCCACCGTTTCAGGGGAAACCGAAACCCAGGTCCCGGCGGCCTGCCAGCCCCGGCAGCCCCACACCGTGTGACCTAGAGCCAGTCGTTGCCTTTACTGGGCCTCAGTTTTCCTGTAAGCTGAAAAGTTTTAATTCAGATTCTCTGGGACCTTCCTTGTCAGCTCCTTCAGCCGCTTAAGCTGAGCTGAGTTTATGTATTCTCTCACATGTTAGTTCATCTGTTCAGTCTTTCATCTGCTTATTTACTCATGCCTTTAGAATGTCTTATGAGCTGTACTTGCACGTGGTAACACCTCCCTTCCCTGCCCCCCCAGTTTAGCTGTGGTTCATTATAGAGGTGTTCGTGTTCTAAATTTCTGACACTGGGTAGGTATGGGGTGGGGCAGCATGGAGGAACAGAAAGTAGGTCTGGTGTTTGGAGGGGGTAGAGGTAGTTTCAGTAGAGTCCCGCCATCTTTAATTTTGTTGAATTTTGTAATGTCAGTCTGCATTCTGGTTTCCTCTCTCTACAGTTGGCTTCCATTCTCTTCCTTCCTTGAAAAGCTTACAAACATCTTATCCATGAAGTAAATTACTAGTTGTTAGAATTACGGTGAGGGTGGTATAATTGTTATTGTCCCATTTTACAGATGAGGAAACTGAGGCTCAGAGGTTAAGTGACTTGGCCAAGGTCAAACAGCTAGTAAGTGGTGGAGCCAGGACTCAAACCCAGGTCTGTCTGATTCCCACAGGGAAAGGATGCGTCTCTGCTACCGTACACTCCACCCAATCCCCAAGTCAAAATGTAAGCAAATAAAAACTAAAACTACACACATCTGAGAGAGCTGGATTCACCTGACCCTTTCCCTCAGTCTAGGAGCCATGTCCACCTTGTTCCCCTCACTCTTCCCCCGTGTGACTGAGACACTGTGGTTTAATCTGGATCGACCCTGTGTGGAGGAGACAGAGCTGCAGCAGCAAGAACAGCAGCATCAGGCCTGGGTGAGTGAGAACCTAGCACAGCACTGGAGCTTCAGTCAGGCTCCCCATCCCCCTTCACTGGCCTTAACCTGGCCCTACTCTGCAGATCTGCCCTGGGGGAGGTTTTTGTCCTGACCCAGCTTCTCATCTTTGTGTTACCCTAATTTGCTGAGGACTGTGGGACCTCTAGGCCAGATCAGAGCCCAGGCTCTTTTCCCTACAACACACAAAGTATTTTTTGACTGTTTATTGAGGACCTTGCAGATGTCATGTTCTAGGCTGGTAGTGTCACTTCATTCTCACCATAATCTTATAAGGAAACCAAAGACCAGAGAGTTTACATAGCTAGATCAAATTCTTAAGGAAGTGGCAGATGACAGGAAACAGACTGAATCTTCCTGAGAGTTGGAAAGAAGCTTCTCCTCCACACTTGGGGGTCTTCTTGGGGGCAGGGCAGGTGAGTGCCATGCCTTTGACTTCCTTGCTTGGGCCCCAGCCTTGCTCTCCTCCCTGTTTGGCCACAGCTCCAGAGCATTGCAGAGAAAGACAACAACCTGGTACCTATTGGCAAGCCGGCCTCAGAGGTGAGTGGCTCTAGCAGGTGGGGCCTATGGGGCTCAGGTGGACTGAAGCTCTGCTCTAATTCTGAAGGTCTGACCTCTGACTCCAGAGTAGGTGTTGTCCTCAACTGGTGGAGGCCAGAAAGAGGAGAGAGAGGGTGGGTAGTGGGCTCAGCACTAAGGTCATGCACCAACCAGCTAGACTCGAGTGGGACAGGATCAGGAGTGGAGCTCATTCACTGGCCCCAGAGAGAAGCTCCAAGAGGGCCAGTCCTTGAAGTGGCCCAGGCAGACCTATAGAACCTCCGGGCTCTTCCCTGTCTCACCAGCACTATGACGATGAGGAAGAGGAAGATGAAGATGACGATGAGGATAGTGAAGAGGACTCAGAGGATGACGAGGACATGCAGGACATGGATGAGATGAATGACTACAATGAGTCACCTGATGATGGAGAGGTCAATGAGGTAGGCAGGGGTGTGGGGGAGGGCCCCTGTCCCTGACCTCACTGGAAGCCAAGGGTACGGAAACCCTGGATGCCGCCAGGGGCAGGATCTGGGACTGGGGCTGGCTGGGTGGCTGAGGCCCCTCCCCACCCACACCCAGCCTCCTCTTCAGGTGGACATGGAAGGCAACGAACAGGATCAGGACCAGTGGATGATCTAGGTAGACAAGAAAGGGGGTCCAAGGATGGCTCTGGACCTCCTACAGAACCAGCTGATCACCCACCCCCATGCCCCACCCCAGTGCCTGAATGCTCATCCTCGGGCACTTCCTCAGCTGCTGCCAGGACCTGATCTTCTTGGTCCCTCCCAGGCCATCAGTATGCCCTTGAATCCCCAGGGCCTGAGCCCAGCCCCCTCCCTTCTAGCCAGCACCTCACCCCTTGTTTGTCAGATCTAGTCTCTTTCTAACTTTAATAAAGACACAGGACTGATTTTTTTCCCCATGTCTATTCCCTATTTGTTTTTGGAACCTAGAGGAGTCCAGCGTCTTCTCTTGAGCTTTGGGGAAAGGGTATTCAAGGGACTTCAGGCGGATCTACCTGGCCGTGTGGTCTGGGGCTAAGGAAGGCCAGAGTAGCCCTGGCTGTGAGCTGAGGCTTCAATGCCATTTCCTCTGGCCCAGATTGCACCCAGCCATTTCTGCCAGGCCTCTTAACTCAGTGTTTACTGCTTCCTTTGATTCCACCCGAAATGGCATGGGGTTGGGGAGACTGGGGGGCAGGTTCTCTGAGGCCCAGAACTGAGAGGCCCCTGAACTCTCCTAGTCAACTTCTTTGGTTAGAACAGATTAAATCTCAGAACAGGGCAGAGACTCCCATGGAGTAACCCAGCAAATCAGTGACAGGGCTGGGTTGGGAGCTCAAGCTTCTTGCCTGTCAGTCCATGACTCTGGACTGGAAGGAGAGGAACCAATGGAATCAAACAGCCTGACACAACTTGAGGCCTCAGGTTATCGTGGAGCCAGAGTGGGACAGAGGTGGGAGGAGAGCCCCTCTAGCCCTGAGCCCAGCATGTGTCAGTCCACAAGCAGGAAAGGGAGGGGAGGGGATATTCTGAGGTCTGTGCTTGGGGAGGGGTGGGGGGAGGCAGCAGTAAGTACCCCTGCGCCTGGACTCAGCCAGGCCCTGCATAGGTGAGCTGGGCTATGCCATCCTTGATGGCAGGGAAGTCAGGGAGGCCAGTGTGGTGGAGGCGGCAACGGTAGCGGCCACAACTCTTGGCATACTGCAGGAAGCGGGGTGCACCAGGGAAGAGCACATGGTCAGCTAACACAGTGGCACCAGCTGGCAGCAGGGCATGGCCTTCCAGCAGCTGCAGGTCCCGCAGGTAACATCGGGGCCGGTGCGCCAGGAGCACCAGGTCAGCCCGACTCAGCTCGTACTGGGTTCTTAGGCGTGGGATCACCTCCTCTGATCTCCCCACGATGAGCTCCACCTGCAGGGGGAGGCACTGGAGGTGAGGTTGGGAGGGATGACTGTTCTCCCACACCAGACCCCACTGGCATTTGGCTTATTTTGTGCCAGGCTCTGGCCAAGGTCCCTGTGTATGTTCTCATGCTTCCTCTGGCTTCAGAACAAGAAATCAGAATCAGAATTGTGATTTCCATTTTACCACTGAAGCAGCTGAGGTTCAGAGGACAAGTGCTTTGCCCAGGATCACATAACTAACAAGAGGCAGACTAAGGTTTGGTCCCAGATGGGTTCCAGAGACTTTCCTCTTAACTGCTTCTTTGTCAGCCAGCAGCAAATATGTTCCAGTGACTTGGAAGAGGAAGATAAGAACTCAAACACTCTCCAAGGTCATAGTTCCTAAGAGAAGCTGTTTCTTTCTCCTAGGTGGGAGACTGGGGAGGCTGACTAGTGTAAGGCCTAGGGTGGTAGGAAAGAGATCAGGGTTGGGGAGGTGGGGCCTGACCGTGTGCTCATCAAAGCCAGCCAGGCGGATGAGTTTTTCAGCCACTGCTGCCGTGCGTGGATCCCGCTCCACGGTGAGAAGGCGACCCCCAGGGGGCAAAGCACGGGCAATAAGCAGTGTGGAGTACCCGCAGTAGGTGCCCAGCTCCAGTGCACAGGCAGGAGCCTTCTCCTCCACCAGCCGCATCAGGATCTGACCTATGGGAGGAAGTGGCTATTGTAGCAGACACGGGAGATGATGCAGGGGGCCTCATAGAAAGGGGTCTCAAATGCCTCACTGCAGCCCCCAACTGGCTAGAATCTCTCTTATTTTTTGGTTTATAGTCCTAGTAGCCCCATTGGTCTCCCTGCCCCTCCAAGCTTGCCTTCTTCACACCAGCCACTAGGAATCTTTCTAACAAATCTGACCCTATTGCTCCCTGTTTCCTATGATCCTAAAGGCCTTTGGGATTGAACATGGGCTCCTCAGCCTGACATTCAGAACTTTCTTAGACCTGATCCTGTCCTTCCTTTCCGGTTTCAACTCTCAATTCTTCCCACCATAACCATCCTGAACAACTGCGCCCAGAGTCAATCATGCTGGCTCATTCCTTCATGCCACATTCAGATACACGGCTGGCTTTGTCCTTCTCCACCTCTTTCCTCAACTACCTGGCCAGCTCGAAAGTAGTCATTCTAGGCTCAGTTCAAATGTTGCTTTCTCCGGGAGGGCCCAGATGGAAAGCACCACCAAAATCCTAAAAGATCTTTGTTAGACCTTCCAGTTTCATTCTCCCTTGTTTTGTGCACTGAAATACCTTTCTAACCATTGAATTGGATGAATCTCTTAAATAAGACTCCAAAACACATGTGCTGGGAGGTGGGATTCAGACAAATCCAAGCAAACAGCTACCCTGAATGGGATGGGGGAGCCTCCATGGTGGGGGAGAATTACAGACCCATAATTATAAGGTTATGGGTTATGTGCTGAGATGGTTATTCCCTTGTATTATTCCCACTTTGAGGCCAGCCTTTGTGGCTGATTCATCCCTATGGCTTCTACCTCTTTCTTCCCCAGCACTTAGCACATGTCTGATACAAAACAGGTGGTGATAAATTTTACTGGATGAATGAGTAATTTTACCCAGCTCCCTCCTTTCCAGAGAATAAAAGAGACCCATTGAAGATCAAGAATCTGCTCAAGTCACCTAGTAAGACAGTGTCAGATCGCAGATCTTTCTTCACCATCTTGGAGGTGCTTCCTGGAGCAGAAGGCTAGGAAACACTGACCTTTGGCAGGCCCCATGTGGCTGAGGTACTCGCAATGGCTGCTCCAGTGGTCCAGGGTGGTGAGGATGTGACCAGGGTCCCCAGGCAGGGCATGGGTGAGCACATAGCTGAAGGCCCGCTCCTCCATCCGCAGCCCTGACAGGCAATCTCGGAGGCTCCGGAGCAAGACTGTGCGAACCAGCAGTCGGAAGTAATGCCGGTACCTCACCAACAATGTCACCACCAGGGGCAGGAAGGCCAGCGCAATGGCAGGGGACATGGTCCCTACCTGGGCCCTGGGGTGGAGGAAGGGAGGGAAACACACACGTCACTTGCCTGTCATTTGTGCATCCCCTACCAGTGGCAATTATCCCTGTATTTTACACATCATGGCTCAGAAAGGCTAAGTTCGTGTCCAGAGTCACTCAAGCACTAGGATTTGAATCCAAGCTGGTCTGATTCCAAGCCCATACACTTTCAAGGACTCCATGCCACCTAAGTTCAGCACCCAATCCCAAACATCTCTTCCCACTTCTGGACCCTGGTTCATCTTCACCTTGCTCCCTTCATCATTTTGCATCATCTCTGTAGTCTCCCTTTTCAGGACCCCTTTTACCAGTTCTGCCTGAGTTCTTCTCCCACCTTACCCAGTGCCTGCTTGGTCTCAGACCCATTACTGTGTAACAAAATAGCACAACTTTGTAGTCAGGAACTCCTTCACTGTCACTACTCTGTGTCAGTAAAAGGCCATCAAAATACTCCATAGTGTGTTAGGATGAGATATCCTTACCACCACAGAACTCTCCCTCTGTCAGCATTTCCCTGGAAGGTGAGAATGGTCCTTGATTGGCATATTTATTCTCCAGTTCTGTCTCCCCTCTCCTGCACTCCCCTCCTCTGTCCTCTCTCAGAATTCCCTTCACAGTCACATAGACACACAGCACACACTTTCCCCTAACTCAGCCTCTTCTATCCCACATCCCAAGACACCCACCCCCCCATCCCCATGGACTCGGTCTTCTCCTGTGCCCTGGACCATCTTACCCTTTTGAGGCCACTGGTGGTAGCTGGGGGGAGGGGATACTAAAAAGCATATATGAATGGGGTTAATAGGTAGGTGAAGTGAAAGTCACTCACTCGTGTCTGACTCTGCAACCCCATGGACCATACAGTCCATGGAATTCTCCAGGCCAGAATACTGGAGTGGGTGGCCTTTCTCTTCTCCAGGTTATGAACCCAGGGATGAACCCAGGTCTCCTGCATTGCAGGCAGATTCTTTACCAGCTGAGCCACAAGGGAAGCCAATAGGTAGATGGGTGATGGTGAATCTGAACTGGTGTGATTGAGAACCCACATTCCAGGGCCCTGCTTACCTGGGCTGGACGCTCTCGCTTGGGAAGATCAGCGCATAGGACAGGAGGGGGAGTCCTTGGGGTGAGGAAGAACCCTAAGGCAGGCTGGACTTGCTTTCAATTATTGATGCTGAGGCTGCTGTTGTTACCTGAGACCTGCCGTTCAAGTTACCAGCCCCAGGACTTGCTGGAACTGCCTCCTACCCTTCAGGATCCCTCAAAGAACTTCGGAACTCCAGGACCTTGATTTGAGGAATAAGAGAACTACTTGGTTTGGTGACATTTTCTCCAATCCCTTGATTCAAGACAAGGTGTGAGCCAAGGTGATGGGGGGGGGGGGGGCTGTAATTTATTAATTCCAAATTCTAAGCCAGTGCTAAGGATTGAGTCACAGAGAAGAATCAGATCCTGTCCCTGTCCCCAGGAACTCCACCTTTGGTAGAAGAGATTGATACAGGGACAGAAAATAAAATATAACGGTAATCACTAGAATGCATACTCCATGAACACGTGGACTGTTGGCAAGCAGACCAGGTGGGAGAGACCGTGTGTCAGCCCATGGGTACAAAGACCAGAAAGTCAATCAGGAAACTTCCTAAGTATTTCCCTGTGGTTGGAAAGGCAGGAACTGCAAGATCTTGCACGACAGTCTTCGACTTGTGTTCAGAGTCCAACGGAATATGTGTGATGGTTCTAAAAGCACTGACTATAAGCTTTGTGTGTTACTCTGCTGTAAAAAGGCAGGATTGAAAAGAAATGCCTCAGGCCAAAGAAATCAGTGAAGTGGCCTCTACCTCCGCCACCAGGATTGAGCTCCTCTCTGCTTCAGTTTGTGAAAGTATAAAGACCCTTCTTCCAGTAAGTCTCAGAGCCCTAGTCCAGGTTGGGTGCCACACCCGCTGTGGGAGCCCGGGCCTGGCGGGGCCTGGCGCGAGCCAACTAGGCCTATGGGTGTGTACCCACACCGTGCGCTCTTGGAGCGCAGGGCCTGGATTCCACTCGCCTCATTCAGGAGAGTATTTCATGACCGCAACTGTTATAAATTCATTCACTAGCCCACAGATATAGCCTGGTGGCCTCGGGAACTCATACACTTCACACGAGGACCTTTACACCCCCGCAGTGGACGTCTCCAGCTGAGACCGGCAAAAGCTGAAGTCATGTGATCTACCCCTCCCTTTCCTTGCATCACGTGTCTCACGGCCTGTCACGCAGGGTGTGCCTTCCCATTGGTTGACTATGATCACGCGGTAGGGGCGGGGCCGGAAGCTTGGGTTCCGGCGGCAGCCGCGGCAGCGAAGCCGCTCCGGGAAGGGGTAGGCACGGGGGTGGTGGTTACTTGCTGGATGCTGGCGCCGGTCATGTGACCGGAAGGGCTCGTGACGGACGCCGTCCCTCCTCGGCGCGGCCTGAGCGCCCGGCCCGACCCCCGCCATGGGGTGCTGCTACAGCAGCGAGAACGAGGACTCGGACCAGGTGCGGCCGCCGCGGGCGGGGCGCGGGAATGAGGGCTGAGATCCTGGGGCATGGGGCCCAGAGAAAAGCCTGCAGAAGAGGGTCACCTGGACTGCAGGGCTTACTGAGTACGGAGGCCCGGAGGGGACAGATTACACAGGAGACGCCGGGCCGGGCTCCTATTCCTTTTAAAGCCCCAGTTCTTTCTGCACACCCCCCACGTTAAAATGTGCAGGCAACCTCCTGTCCCGCTCGCTTCCGCCCCTTCCCCTACTTTCAGACGTTTACAACTTCGAGGGTCCTCAGCCTCGGCCTTTGGGAAGCACTCCCTTCCTAGCTGCTGTGCCTTCTCTGTGCTTGTATTAGTGGGCTTTGTGAGTCCATTGTAGAGGTGGGTAAGCTGAGGCTCTTGAGTTAGATTGTCCCGATATGAATCAGGAATCTGTGTATACTCTTCTGAATCCTTGGGGTTGAAGAAGGAAGGTCACTGCTGCTTTGGAGTCAGGGAAGGCCTCTGGAAGTTGGTGTCATTTAAGCTGATGAGTGAAGGATTTTATAGACACATTGAGGGCATTGAGACGGTGGGAATTTGGAAGGCAACAAAATGGGTTTAGCTTTGGCTAGATTGCGGGCAAAGAGAAGTGGGATGGGAGCTCACTTGGGCTGCCTCAGTGCAGTACCTGCCTGGGGCCTGGGGGCTCCTGTAACTGGAGGGGTGTTCTGGGTGTTCGGCTGTAGATCTGATTCCTTGGCAGAAAGGGTTAGGCTGGGGCGGCCTGTACAGTTTTAAATTCTGCCTCTTCCCCTTGGTGTATTCTCACTTCTTGCTACACTTTAATCCCTGCCCTGCCTGCCTGACCTTTTTGAGGACAGCGAGACCTTTTCAAGATGAAGTCCCAAGTCTCACTTGCGGTCTTGGTTGCCACTGAGCCTGGATTTTACATTTCAAAACATATTGACAGGAAAACTGTAGAAAGATTTCAACAAGTAGTTCACAGTCTAGAGAAGTAGATGGTCACAGAAATGGATTATGTCACTGGTATAGGGGAAGTAGGTCTTCCCCAGTGACTCACATGAATCTATTTTGGGTCAAAGACTTAAGCTTGGGGAAAAGTCATTTATATGGGAGGCACGGGTGGCCCCTGGATCTCACTAAGTCTCCAAACACCCAGTGAACATATGTTCGTATTTCTATGCCTTATGTTAGGCATGCCATCAAGGCAGTACTTCACACTTCACCTCCTCTGGTTAGAAATTGGAGACAATACCCGTGCCTACGGGAAAGCTATGGCCTAATGTGAAATTGTCCCATAAAGTATAATGATTCTTGCACAGAATGAGTCAAGGGTTAACTTTTTGTGAAAAAGGATACCAGCTTCTAATTGAAATTTCTACTGTCCTGAACCTCCCACCTTCCCCTTGATGGGCTTTCACTTCTGGTTCTAGTGCCCAGAGATGGTGCTTGATCAGTCCTGGGTGATATTTTTTAAAGTCTTTTTTTTTTTTTTAAACTGTGGACCATTTTAAAATTATTTACTGAACTTGTTACTGTATTGCTTCTGTTCTATGTTTTGGATTTTTGGCCAAAAGGCATGTGAGATTTTAGCTCCCTGACCAGGGATTGAACCTCCTCCCCCTGGAAGGCAAAGTCTTAACACTGGACTGCCAGGAAAATCCCTGTCCTGGGTGATTTGAGGCCTCAGGTGGAGAAGGTCTGCTTACCTAGTCTATAAGCCATAACCATTCACTGTCCACTCTCTTAGGTCTTGGGCAGTCCTCTCTCCCATTCTCATATTGGACTCTGTTATAATAATAAAAAGAAATGTACATTATGTTACAGTTTTCAGAGATCTTTTACAGTTAATCTTGCTTGACTCTTGTCCAACGTCTGTCATATAGGTTTTTTAGTTATATCTATTTAAAGGTGAAGAAAAAGTTCAGAGAGCCTAAGTGATTTAGCCAAGCTTATAAAACAGAGGGCGTCCCAGATGGCACAGTGGTAAAGAATCCACCTGCCATTGCCGGAGACGAGAGAAATGCAGGTTCAATCCCTGGGTCGGGAAGATCCCCTGGAGTGGGAAATGGCAACGCACTCCAGTATTCTTGCCTGGAAAATTCCATGGACAGAGGAGCCTGGTGGGCTACAGTCCATGGGGTCTCAAGAGTTGAACACGACTGAACGATTGAGCAGACACACACATGCACACACAAAACTCAGAAGCGCTACAAGCAAGGTGTTTTGATGCCAAGGAATGTCTTTATCCACTGGGCTAAGCAGTGTCTTCTAGCTGTGCCCACAGACCAGGTGGCTAGTCATAGGCAGACCACATACATGTCTGTGAAGAGAAGATGGTGAAACACTACTCCCAGGTTGACGTTGACTTGAAGACAAATATTGGTGTGAAAAACCCTCCCCCATGTACCATTCACCCTTTTGGGGGTGAATGCAATGTTATTTGTCTACTCTAATGGTGGTAGCATGGCCTCTTCCACGAGTTTAGGTCTCAGGAAAACGATATTGTTCTTTTTCTTTTCTTTGGCTGTGTTGGGTCTTCACTGCTGTGAGGGCTTTTCTCTAGTTGTGGCGAGCGGCATCTAAGGTGCAGTGTGTGGACTTCTCATTGTGGTGGCTTCTCGTTGGAGAGCACTGGCTCTAGGGTGTGCCAGCCTCAGTAGTTACAGCACTCGGGCTCAGTAGTTGCACAGAGCCCTCCTGCTTTCTAGAGCACAGGCTCAGTAGTTGTGACGCACAGGCTTAATTCTCTGTGGCAAGTGGGATCTTCCCAGATCAGGAATCGAACCTGTCTCTCTTGCATTGACAGGTGGATTCTTTACCACTGAAACCCAGAACAGCCTTGTTCTTGAAGAACCCTGGATAGGGAGAAGTGGCCTTGTCCTGCAGGAGCATCTGTCTGAAGTGGGGCTGGGGAAAAGATGGACATGTAGAAAGCAACTCAGGCTTTATTATGGAGCCAGCTTTCCTTAGAGATAGTTTAATCTTTGGCACAGATTTTGTCTTTCAAGTTCTTTAATACTTAGCCTGCATTTTAGGTGGGTCAGGGGATGTCTAAAGGATTTGGGAGCTGATGAGCCAGGAGCCTAGAGCTTCTGTCTCACGCTGTTGGGAACTAAGGACATGGGCAGCCTAGGCTTGAGAAAGAAGAGTAATGTCAAAGGACTGACCTTGCCTAGGGTGGGGCAGGAGGAAGTGTGCTCTGTAAGGAGAGTTGAAGAGCTGTTGGCAGGGCAACTGGGAGCCTGCAAGTGTGAAAGATTGTAATAGGAACTGAGATGGGCCTGGAATGGAGCACTAAGGAGTCTGGTGGTCTGGCACTGAAGGCTGGTGAGTCAGCTCTAGTCAGGATGGCCCCTTGTCCCTGGCATCTTCCTGTGTACCCTTGTTCTTTATACTTTGGATACCCAGCATGATGGCTTATCCATTTTGCAGCTGACACAAAGCCAGCAGGGATTTACAGCTGATGGGCTCAAGGCAGGGTTGTATTCAAAAAGATCACAGTAGATTAGATCAAGAGACTAAAACAAGATGAGGAGAAATAATATGTAGCATTATATAGGACCAGGGAGACTTGGTTTGGTCTCAGGTCAGTTCAGGGGTTGTGGTAATTGGCATGGGCCAGCAGAAACAGGACTCTGACACTAAAGAAGGCCCATTCACAGAGGTGTGGGGGCTTGGTGAGGGAGGGAGCAGCTCTGTGTTCAAGTAAAGGTACACTGGGAGCACCGAGTTAGGTCCTGGGAATCCCACGCAAAGGGGAAAGGAGAGTGAACTCCTGAGAGTAGAAGGGTCCTGCCCTCAAGAAGGAACCGTCGGATGGTGGGACTAGAGCCTGCAGCTGAGACTCCTGAGGTAATATGAGGAATGGCCGTTGAGAGGTTCCCCTTGGGGCCCAAGGCCTTATCTGGCCCCACAGGGCCTCTCCATCGTGGGAGTAGACAGTCTGACCAGGGAGGATCTGGTCTGGGGGATCAGGTGGGCCATACTTGGGCTCCTGACTTGCATCAGTGTCCCCTCTAGACTCCACTGTTTTGGTATTTTCTACCTTCTCTGGCTTCCAGCCTTCAATATCCTTTCTCTACCAGGTGCTGGACTGTTTCCTGAAGCTGCAAGGCTGTGACTAAATACCTGCTTTGTGCCTCTGTCCATCTTTTCAGGGCCTCTAGGACTGCTTGGTTCCACTTTAGCTCATCCTAGACCACCACCAGCCTAGCTCCCAAAGGCAAGCAAGATCTCGGTCCTGGAGCAGATGCTTCTGTACAGTTGGGCACTTGGGATGTTCCTAATAAAACATTTTTGGTGCTTAAACGTCAGAGCTGGGCTAAGAGGAGAGCCCAATACAGGTGGATTGAACTAAGGGCCGCGGGCCTGATGTCTCCCCTCTGGTCTCTCCTAGGACCGAGAGGAGCGGAAGCTGCTGCTGGACCCTAGCAGCCCACCCACCAAAGCCCTCAATGGAGCCGAGCCCAACTATCACAGCCTGCCCTCTGCCCGCACCGATGAGCAGGCGCTGCTCTCCTCCATCCTTGCCAAGACAGCCAGGTGGGCATCACAGGACCGGGCCTGGGACAGCCCTCCTCCAGGCATGTTAAAGACTGGGATCGGGGGTCAGACCCAGGATGCAGGGGACGGGCCAAGGTCAGTGGGAAGAGGCACTCCTGAACCCAGTCATGCTCCTGTGGGCAAGCAAAGACATGATTGTCAGATCGCCCTGGAGATAGCATCTGGCAGGGAGTCTTGCTCGGCCCTCTTGGAAGCACCTTTCACGTCCTCTCTCTCCTTCTCCCCGAAGCAACATCATCGACGTGTCTGCTGCAGACTCCCAGGGCATGGAGCAGCACGAGTACATGGACCGGGCCCGGCAGTATAGGTGAGCTCCTGGCCAGCCTGGAGCCCGTGGGCTGCTTGGGCCCCTCCCTCCTCCTCCCTCTGCTCCAGCTTTGGAGCCTGGGCCCCAGTCCAGGCTCCTGGTTTGGGTGTGGCCCAGGAGGGTGGCCACAAATCACTCGGGTGTGTCAGTCAATGTTCATGTTGACCCAGTTTGCCCTGTGACCTCCAAGGGTATGGAGAGCAAAGGAGGTGGGCCTGGAGAGGCTTTGCGGTGAGCCAGGGCCCTGTCACCTGCTTCTCTGGTCTGAGGGATGAGGCCTGCCTGGGCAGGTTGGGCCAACTACTGTGGCCTGACTGCCTGTCCCCACCCTCCCCTCCCTTCCGCCAGCACCCGTTTGGCTGTGCTGAGCAGCAGCCTGACCCATTGGAAGAAGCTGCCACCACTGCCGTCTCTCACCAGCCAGCCCCACCAAGTGCTGGCCAGCGAGCCCGTCCCCCTCTCCGACTTGCAGCAGGTGAGCCACCCCTCGCCCCACCCTCTCCGCCTCTGAGGGGGTGGAGGAGTAGAGGGAGGGACCCTGGTGGCCTGTGGGCCCTGGTCTCTCCCACCTCACTCTTTTTCTCTCCTCCCCATGCCCGCTCTTCACCCTTCGTTCTTTTTCTACCCTTTGTTCTTTGCACCTCTTTCCAATCCGTGCCTTTCTCCTTGGCTGCCTCTCCCCCGTCATTCCCTCCTCCCTGACCATCCAATCCCCCTCTCCCACTCCGGATCTCCCTTCTCACTCCTCTGTTTCTCTCTCCCCGTCCCCCTATCCCAGGTCTCCAGGATAGCTGCTTATGCCTACAGTGCACTTTCTCAGATCCGTGTGGACGCAAAAGAGGAGCTGGTTGTACAGTTCGGGATCCCGTGAAGAGAGGGGGTCCCTGGACAGCTCTTCTTCTCCTCTCTTCGCTCCGTCTCCACCCAGCCTCCCCTGGCCCCCAGCCACACTGCGGCTTATACAGTATCCTAACCTGCTACTAATCACAGAAGAAAGTGGAGGAGGAGAAGAGTGAGGCGAGAAGCCTGAGCAAGTGAGGATGCAGCAAGGGAGGGTAGAACCATTTGGGACTGGCCTTCGAAGCTCTGGCCAGGGGTGGGGTGGGGGTCACAGGAACAAGGCCCGGTAGCTCTTCCCCGTCATTGGGAAGGTGGAGGTGCCAGTGTGGGGGTGGTCACTAGGGGGCCTGTTAGGGCCCCCTGCCCACCCTTCCTTGGCCTCACTCCTGTCCCCTGTCCCTGACTTGGTGCTCACATGCACCTCACGAGGGCTTGTGACCAGGGTCTGGGTGAGCTTGAGTTTGAATGAATTGAGTTTGTATTTCTAGCACCCTGGGTTTCTACATGTTTGGGGTTTTTTGGTTTTGTTTTGGTTTGTCATCCTCGATAAAGGACATGTATCCATCTCTGTGTTGGTTCCCGCCCCTCTGTCCTGCCCACCACCCTCCTACTTACTTGTGGCTACTCCAGTCTGTGAGCAGCGTGATGGATGAGGGGGAGGGGGTGTCTTCTAGGGGCACTAAATGGAATCCAGGAGATTCCCAGGTCTTAGCTGAGACTCGACCCATGCTAACCTCAGATTGGATAAGACTGTGCTTGTCCCTTCTCCATTGATGGGAACACTATGAAAGCTGAACAGGCTGGACTCTGAGGCAGCCATCATCCTTGTGGGCATTGCCTCAGGCTCAGTGGAATTCCCAGGAAGCCTGGTGAGGGGGTGGAGGTCTGCAGGCAGACCAAGAGCACCTGATACGGAGTCAGCAGACACACAGTTTCAAGCAGAAGATAGTAGTTTTTATCAAGAGAAATCTTAAGCAGAATCATAACATGCAAAACATGAGCAAGGAACTACTCTGATCTGACTGAAGTGGGGCATCCAGAGGTCACAGCCCATCTTCCTGGCCTCCTGTCACGGAGGCCTCTGGGGCGTCTCCACAGTACCTTGGTGCTCTGTGAAGCAACTGTGACCTCAGGATATCTGAACTAAAGAGTGCCAAAGGTCCCAGACGGGTTAGATACATTTCCCAGGGCTATGCCATCAGCTGAGGCCAGCAGGCCTTTCTTTCCATTTCCTCCTCGTTTCGGTGACGTAAGACCAGAACATGATGCTGGTTACCTGATTTGGGGGGCGTCTTTGCATGGGACAAGGTGATCTGCCGAACAGTTCAAATCATTTATTGTCAAACCAAACTGACCACTCTCAGGCCTTTAGGACTGCTGGGGTCCTGGGAACCTCAGAGTGCGTTGTGCTTGATCCGGACCTTCTTCGGTTTGATGTTCATGCGTTTCCACACTTCAGCCGTTGTGCGGTCTGCTTTGGTGACCCCACTGAAGTCGAACGTGGTGATATGGGGCAGGGTGCACAGCACATATTGCCTGTGGGGAAGACTCGGGCTGGGGGCCGGCCCCCCTTGTAGGGCCCCTTTCCCCCTCCACCAGTCACTCTTGTCTCCCCTGACTGCAAGGAATGGACGGACTTGAGTAGAGTTTGGAGGAAACTGGATTTATCCTGATTGGCTGCAAGAAATGCCTAAAGCCTTCTCCCTTCCCCGGCCCAGGCAGAGAGCAGAAGGATGGTGTTGGGTTTCTAGCCCTAGCTCTCCTCCTTTCCCTCATGGGAGCCCAGCTGGAACCCACATCCAGGGCAGAGGACTTACCTATACCCCTTCTCCTCTTCAATGGGGTTCCCGTGCAGGGTCAGGCTCCGGAGCCGAGGGAGGACAGCCAGCTTGTTCACTTCTCCAAGGCGCTGGATGCTGTTGCCATGGAGATAGAGGACACTCAGGTTGAAGAAAGTTGTCAGGACCTGTTGGGAAAGGAGACTGGAAGCTAGACTGGACAAAGCCCTGTATCTGTGCTCAGGACTGACTGGTGGCCAAAAAGGAAGAGTTTGGGGAACAACTTGTCACCTCACAGCCATGCTGGATTGAGACTGACTTTAGCATTTCATTTACCTTTGAAGGGGTTCAGGGGTACCACACTGACAGCACTGTGATCCTAGGGGCAAGTGGTGTGGACCTGGGTCCCACCACTGCCACTGACTTGCCAGGCGCCTGTGTGCTCTCCTGGAGCCTTAGCTGTCCCTTCACTGAAGACCATTTCAGCTTTAGTGTTCTAAGATTCTGTCACAACAGGGGACAGCACCTTGCTAGGTACATCAGAGCTTTTAAAAGAACGGTTAAATTGAGATCCCTGCACCTGGGGAACAGTTTCCAAGTCATACAATAGCTCCTGTCTTTCCTAACATAGAACTTGGATGAAAAGAGGCCAGTTTTGTTTGTTCCTTAACATTTAGCCTGAGTTCATGGACAGTACTGCTGTTCTTTTAGTGACTACCTCTATTGAAGAACTCTGCACAGAGCACAGTGGGTGCCCAGTAAGCTACAATTTTACTTTAGCCTCCTATGCGAAGGCTTGCTGTGTGCTGATTGCTTTTCACACGTTTTCATTTAATCCTCACAAAATGTATATAATGCCGGCCTATTTATCTCCATTCTTCAGACAGGGAGGTTGAGGTTTTCAAAGGTTAGGAGCTTACCTAAGGTCATAAAGTCAGTAAGAATAGAAAGATGGTAACGATAACCCTATATGCAAAACAGAAAAAGAGACTCAGATGTATAGAACAGACTTGTGGACTCTGTGGGAGAAGGCGAGGGTGGGATGTTTCAAGAGAACAGCATCGAAACATGTATATCTAGGGTGAAACAGATCAACAGCCCAGGTTGGATGCATGAGACAAGTGCTCGGGCCTGGTGCACTAGGAAGACCCAGAGGGATGGGGTGGAGAGGGAGGTGGGAGGGGGGACCAGGATGGGGAATACATGTAAATCCATGGCTAATTCATTTCAATGTATGACAAAAACCACTGCAATGTTGTAATTAGCCTCCAACTAATAAAAATAAATGGAAAAAAAAAAAAACAAAGTAAGAGGCAAATCTGAAATTTGAACCTATAACTGTGTGAGCCCACAGCCATGCGCTTTGCACAGCACCATGTTGCATTGCTACTTCCTTGATAATGTGGGAGGTGGAGAGGCTGGGGGCTGGACAACGTGGCTTCGGGCCCGCCCTGACTGGACTCACAGGATCAATGGAAGTCAGGTCATTGAAGGACAGGTCGATCCAGGCCAGGTTCTCTGGATGCTCCAGGAGCTGTGAAACCGCATGGTTGAAGTCTCTCAGGTCAGTGAGGACATTGTTGTTTAACCACAGGGACTGGGTCATTGACTTCCCCGACTTCGCGTGCCTTACTGGTCGTAGCCCTGTCCGGGGCTCCTCGCTTAACAGATCTGTGGGCACAGAGTGAGCTTTGGGTGTGTTATCTTTGCTTTTCTGGCTCTGGAGGGTGGGAAGGGACAGAGCTGGGAGGACTTGTAGCTAGAGGAGCTGGTAGGGCCATAACCCCATGTTGTGTCTTGTGCAATTGCATGCACTGTCCCACAGGCCCCAGCGGTTAGAGGGAGCTTGGATTAAGGGCCAAAGACTTCCCATTCCAAGCTCTTGGTTTGGGTCACGTGCTCATGTCGACTGTCATTGGGTTCTCTGTATACCACCCCTGTGGGAATTGGAGGGAGGCACATTTTATAGATGAGGAAACCAAGAACAAGAGATGTTAGACCTGAGCCAAGATGCTGAAGCACAAAATCCAGAATTATCCGCCAGCAGACCCTATAGAATTTCACTTCTAGAATTTCACACTCTAGATGTCCTCCCCCTTCTTCCGTTAATAGTAACTATGTGCGTCATACTGGACATACAATGGTGAACAAAAGGAGCAAGAGGCTCTGTATGGTAATAGAGCAGGTGTGAAGCAGATGTTTGTGTCTTGGAGGAGGTCACGTGAGCAGAATGAAAGCAAACAGTCAATATAGTATGATAAATGCTCTTTAAATTGTGGAAGCACAGGAGAGGGGCTCCTAACCCAGTCTGAGAGCTCAGGGAAGTTGCCCAGGCATTAATCAGGCAAAGAAGAGTGGAAAAGGTGAGAAGAGCACTAGCAAAGGCACAGAGGTATGGGATAGCAGGGGCACACGTGTATGTGCTGTGCAAGGGGGCAAGGAGCCTTGCAGACCAGGTTGAGTGTCTTAGACTTCATCCTGTGGGAGGTGGGAAGCCACTGAGGGGCTGAAAGCAAAAGATGATTCACATCTTTCAGAAATGAGAGATCACTCTGAAGTTTCCATTTTGGCTCTTTTAAGTCATCCAAGCAAGGATGAAGGGGACACACAGCATGACTTGACGGTTGACTAGAAGTAAGGGTAGAATAATATTCAAGGGTGTCGCTCAGTTTCTTGGTATTTGGGGAAATGTCAGTCCTATGGGCTGATGTGGAATGAAAAGAAGCCTGGTTGGGAAGGTGGGAGAGAAGTCAGTGAATCACCAGGGCAGGGCAGGGAGAACCAGGACAGGATAGTTTTAAAGATGCTCAGGGAATCCATAGTCTGTAGGAGTTCACGGAAATAAACTGAAAGGTAATTTTGGCAACTCAGAAGTCCTTGGTGACACTGTTGAGGGTTGTTTCAATGAAATGACAAGGGCCTGGGGGCAAGCTAGATTGGAGTGAGTTCAGGAGCAAATGAAAGGTAAGGAAATAAAAACAGCACCCTCAGAAAGTTTGAGGAGGAGAGTTGGAAATAGAGCAATCTTTTTTTTTTTTTTAAAGAGTGATCTTAGAACCCATCTATATGGACCCCTTCCCTTTTTTTTTTTTTCAACAGATAAGGTTGTGGCAGAGCCAGAACCACTCATCAGCTCAGTTGAGGTGATTAGATGTTTCCTGTTGTCCCTATTATGCCTTTAGTTACTTGTCTAAAGCTGCCTCCCAGAAAGGAAATATTTAGTATTTTCTGAACTGGTCAGCTTGTCTTCAATCTTCCCTCAGCTCTGACTGGACACACTTCTCTTCCACCCCTACCCAACTTGAACTCAGCTGCAGGTCAGGCAGCATCCACCAGATGGCTCTCTGTCTTAGTCCTGGAGTGAGCAGAACCCACAGGTGGGCCTGAGGTTGGGGGGAGGTGGCAGAAGGGTCCTGTCCTGGAGGAGAGTACCCTAGCTCATGAATAAACTAATCCTGACACCTTGCCTCACATCTCCTGACTTTGAACCCTGAGTTGAAAGAAGAGTAAAAGTTAAGATCAAAATAAACCTGCATATGGACTAGTCTCCAGTTTGATGAGGCTGTGGCTTGGGAATACCACCAAGCATGGGCTGATCCCTAGCTCAGGGGGAGCCTCTGGGGATGGCCTTGCCTAAAACTTGAGGCTGCCTGGGGTTGCTGTTATCACAGGTGGAGGAGGGAGTCCATGTTGCTATGGGTTACTGAGACTCAGACTCCCATCACAGCACTGCATTGCCTGAGGATCAGTCAAAGCTGCCCTGTTCAGAGTAGGCCAAGACAGGGCTGGAAACTGGACCAAAATGCCAACATTTGAAGACCTGGGGATTGTCTAGCTCCAGGATGATCTGAGGAAAACATAATCTGTCTTCGTATTTCCTGAAGGGTTGCCGTGCAACTTTCCGCATGTGTCCCCAGAGGGCAGGAGTTAGTCTGATGTGAAGAACTTCTGTATGTCATTCCTTACCCTGTAATGGAAGGGTTGGGAGCTGTGTGGTGTGGGACTCCCTAAACTGTCGGAGTAGTTAGAGGACTGTGCATTGGAGGTGGTAGACTGGTTGCCTTCTAAAGTCACTGTTGTTTCAGATTTTATGCTGCATATGTTAATTCAGGAAATTGTATACCAAGTTCCCCCCAACTACCCTGTCCTCTAACCCCAATTCTAAGTAAATACACCAAGTGCTGTGGAGAACCTGAAGGGACTGGCCTTTTGGGGCTTAGATGTACCTCTATGCTTCTCCCTCCTTCACTTAGCAAGAAGCACCATGCCTGGCATATGTGTACAGACCTACACACAGATATGTAGAAGTGCTTAATCATAGTTAGCAGCTCAATATTTAAGTACTGAAAGGGCATCTGTACAGATTACGTTTTGTGCTGTGCAGTTATCCTTGGTCATGGTAACTCCTCTCTCCTCATTCTGAGGACACCATTGAGGTGTGAGGTCTCCTCACTCAGAGCTAGGAATTCCCAGGCTAGGTAGGAGTCATACTTCCTTCTTCCTCTGTCACCTCAGCTATCTTGTGCATAGCCATTATTTCAGCTAAAACCCTGCAGAACTTGGACTCCCATTAGTCAGAAGGGAAGATCACAGCCAGCGGGTACGTGAGAGAGAATAAGCAGGAGCTACTGTTGTGACTGATGTCAACCCAAGTTGTAAGTACCCTGAACCCAAACCCAAGTAGTATCCAGTATCCTTGATAACTATTCGTCTGCTTCTTGAACTTAAAGGTGGCCACTGATTACCTAAGAGAGACAACCAAAGCCAGGTAATGCATCTAAGATAGGCCAGCCTGTGTTCTGTGAGGGCAGGTGTGCTGATGTGTTTATGAGAGCAGATAACAAAGACAGAAGAACTTCCCTGGGAAGAAGCTTATTACCTTGAGAATATGATCTTGCTGAAGCCTCCCTCTGTCCCCTCCTGAGAGGTACTAACTGCCCCCTTAGAAACACACTGAAAGATAAAATGAGCATGGGCAGTGCTGGAACATGCAATAAGTGTGGGTGATAATGGAATAAACTTGGATATGACCAGAGTGAATATAAAATTTGTCAATAACTATTTAGACTGGAAACATGCCAGTTTGTTAGTAACAAGACCGTGCATGTTTCTACCAGTGATCAGGAGGACAGGCTTGTGTTCTAAGACAGGAGAGTAGGTTCTGCCTGTTGACTGGGATGCTGAAGCAGCCTGTATTTTTCTTCCATTAGTCTCTTCTCTCCAAGTAAGAAATGGAGAATAAAACTATCAGCTGATAGACTAGCTCCCCAGTTTTCTTCCACCTGACTTTCCTGCCATAGCCTGGATTCTTTTGACGAGCATCAGTTACCCTAAAAGCCCCCTTGGTTACTTTCAGATGTGCTGATTTTTTAAAAGGCCAGATTCTTCCACTCCAACCTCCCTACCCGCTACTACTCCCCAAAATGGTGACAAAAATCCCACAGGCTTATAGGAAGAATCTCTTAAGGCTTTTAAGTAAGAGGCTGGTTTCTCCTTGGGGACCACATCCAGCCTGCTGCCATGGCGAGTGGCGTGCTGTGCTCTGGGGGCTGACCTTGGGTCACGTGGATGCTTCGGAAGGAGTAGTCAAGAGGGGGCTCTTGCACCGAAGTGTTCATATAGCTCCGTTTGTTCATAGCTCAGGCCATCGTTTGTCAGGTGTAAGCATGGGCCCTGGGAATCCGGGTTCAGCCTGGGAGGACAGAGAAGGACTGGTGTTCGGCCCTCAGGTTTTCCCCAGAGCCCTCCACCCCAGGTTTGCGTGGCTGCATTTCTACTTGAAGATCCCAATCTTGATTCCTTGCATTTGTAGGCACTTCCTACTTCTCCAAGCACCTTCACATCCCTGAGAGTTCACTGACAGTTAAAACACCCACTTCTACTTTCCAGACGAAGAAACTGAGACCCCAGGGTGAAAGCACTTGCCCAGAGTTAAGCCAGTGAGTCAGCTGTGGACTGCCATCATAGGCTCCTGAATCCTACTCAGACCCTTCCTGCTACTCCACAGAAGTTACCACAGAGGCTGTCTTGATACCTATCCTCTGATGACATCAACTGGGCTATTCTGTTGCTTAACAAACCCCTGAGGGCCTGTAGTGGATTTGGTGTCCGCCAGCCCTTTGCAGCCTAACACAGATGGGGATTTGCTACCTTCTCTGCTTGTCTGTCAGCCCCGTAATCTTTCCATCCAAAGACCTTACTTTCAGCTACATCCTGAATGTAGTTGTACATATATAAACACACATACACATAAAACCAGAGTCTGCCTCACTCGCACTCACCTGTCACTGATGCCTGAAACTCCACCATTAGGGATTCATTCCTTTGGGTTCAGGGATTGTTCCCTGTTAAAATGGAAATACCCCCCTGAGAGGGGTGAACAGTGTTACAGTCATTTACAATGTGATGTGAATTGTCTTATCAGATCCTTTTCAGTTTGTTAGCTCAAATAAAGCTGATAATTTTTCCAGACTGGGCAGAGCCATGAGACCACCGCTCACCTGGGAAGAGGAGAGCTGACACTTTCCCAGAGGGGTTTGTATGTGGCATAAACAGAAGATAAATAGACTGACAAATATGTGTCCCCATCAACCTCCCCTTCTCACGCCATCCACTACTGTCACTTTTCCGTTTACTACTTGTTTTCCAAAATGATTTGAGGTATTTAATGGTAATAACACACTCATGGAAAAGGATGATTTGTAGAAAAGAGCTGTCCTGACAGAATAATGAGCATCACAAATGCCGGCCATGTGTATAGTTTTTGTTTTCCCACATACATAATTTGAATTTTTCTAGTAGCTGTATAAAGAAAAGTCAAAAGAAACAGGTGAAATTAGGTTTAGTAGTATATTTTATTTAACCTACTATGTCCAAAATGTCATTCAACATATAATCAATATTAAAAATTAAGATACTTTACACTTATAGCACATCCCAGCTGGAGCAAGCTACCTGTCAAGTGCTCAGTAGCCGCATGTGAATACAGGCTACCATACTGGACAGTATGGATGCAGAAAATGAAAACATGGAAGAGAAAGATTAGAAGCCAGAATAAAGGAAGTGAGAGAGATGTACCAGGGAATTAGAAAACTCTGCCTCTACTTATCCCAAAATTCCTGGAAGCTAAAGCAAAAGGGGGAAACTTAGCATATGTGGTTCTCATCATTTGATTCAAAGAAACAAATCATTTGTATGCAGAGACAGTGAAATTCACAAATGTTATTGACATGGAATTTCTCTTTTAAAAACCACAGACCTTGTAGCTTGTAATTCAGCTTAAGCTTAATACAGTCCAGGTAAATTCCTTTTTTGGTGACTTAACGTATGCAAGGATAGAGTTGAACAGGTTTAGAGGAATGGAAAGTGAATTTCTTCCTCTCAAAAAGCAGCAGCCTCAGAAATTCCCTGGTGGTCTAATGCTTTCACTGCTGAAGGTGCAGGTTTGATCTCTGGTTGGGGAACTAAGACCCCACAAGCCGTGCAGTGCAGTCAAAAAATAAAATACATATAAACAAGTGAGATCTGTCAGCATGCTTACAGGTTAGGAAAAAAAGCATTCTCAACTGAGTTTTGGGAAAGTGCTGGCTTGAGTCACTTGACAGTTGAATTGTCTGTCAAGTGTGGGACGGACCTGGTGGGCATGGGTTGTCAGTTGGGAGATCTGAATCTTTGGATATCAAATCTATGGACATGACAAAAAACACTTTATTCTTTTGTAGAAATAGAGGAAGGTGGCTTGTGTTCTCACCTAGACTTGAGGACCCACAACGAGTTTGATGCCTCTGAGTAAGACTGGATGTTTTCTCAAAGTGAGTTCTTTGTTGGGACCCCAGAGTTCAGCCCTGCAGGACATGGATTTTAGCTTACAGTATTTAAAGGCAGATTTTTATCATTAGTCTCCTTGACCATCAGAGAACCTCAGTGCAGTTCCAAAGGGCTTCTGAATTTGTGTAGCACCAGCTCCTGGTGCATTTTTCTGGAAGAGTTAGTATTAAAAAATAGAGCCCCAGTAGTTGGATAAATCAGCCCATTGGAAAGGGTTATTAGTCTTCTCCATTTAAACAACAGCTCAGGCTGTGAATTAGTATTGTGTCTTATTCATCATCTAGTACAGGACCTGGCTTACACACACTTGGGAAATGTTTGTGGGAGGAATGAATGAGACACTGCCAAATACAAGGATTTCTGTTTTGGGAGTGGTGATGCTAAACTGCTCTTTCTAACAATTGGCTTCAAGATTCAGCTGTTTGAGTCCACACCTCATTCACAGTAAGATATTTAATTCAATTCTTCAAACATTTGTTGAGTGCCTGCTGTTCTATGCCTGACCAGAAGGAATGAAGCCAAGATACAAATAATAGAACCCTGTCTGTCATGAGTAGAGGAAGGCCTGCTGGGTTGCTATTGATTGTAGAAAACCAGCCTGCATCCAGTTCTAAGAAACAGCTGCATACTTAGTGAATACTCTTGTGTTTCAATACTCAGTTCTAGTGTACCCTCTTTGAAGACCTTCTTTCCAAAAAAAAATTGATCATTGTGTCCTGTGTTAACTCCCTGGATGAACCTTATCATGGTCTCCCCTGCATCCATCTCTTTTGCCCTCTGACTTTAATAGTTCCATCCACTCTGACGCTTGGTTCAGCCATGTGACTTGCTTGGCCAAAAGGATGCTGGTAGACATGAAGCAAACAAGCTTAAAGAGAGGACCTGCCCTCGCTCTGTTTGTCAGTGCCAAGAGAACACTGCTGGCCTGCTGGAGGGGTATGAGAAACACGTGTAGGTGAGATACATGATAAAAAGAGCCAGCGATCCCAGGTGAGGCCATCCTATACTAGCCTATAGCCAGCCTACCCCAGGTGAAGATCAGGAGAGTCACCAAACCCACATGTGACTGCAAACACATGAATGAGTCCAGCCAAGACCAGATGAAACACATGGATGACTCAGAGACCTGGGAGCAATAATAAATGTTTATTGTTTTGAGCCACCATTTTTTTGGATGGTTTGTTATGTAGCAGTAGCTAACAGATACATGCCCCCACTGTACTTTGAAAAAAATTTCATCACAGCCTGTTTCCTCAAATGTAAAATGGAGACAAACCCTGTCTTGAAAGCTGTTGTATGTTCTGTAACAGATGTTCAATAAATAAAACCAGTTGTTCTCTCTGTACTCTTAAGCTTGAGGACAGGGACAGAAAGCAGACTTCTTTCTCTCTTCCCACCTTCCCACCTACCCTGCACTGAGCCTGAGTATTCACTAAAGGTTTGATGGACAAATGGATAAATAGAAAAATGAAAGAATAAAAGAATAAATGAATGATATCTTCAAGGTGTCACATAGTGAGCCTTGAAGTGACATATGTGAGGAGAAGTGTCAAGCTGTAAGGTTGCCTTATTCACTCCAGTGGCTGTTTTTGGAGTCTTTTCTCCAAAACTGCTATTCAGCCTCATGACCAAGAGCTAGTCAGACCCTAGTGTCTTCCTCATTTGTCTACCCTGATTGACTTGATGAATGACAGGGTTAGGGGCATACCTACTTTGTTTTGAAGTTTTTCTTCTTGCAACTGGAAATATCATTTACTGTTTTTCAATTTTGAAAGTTAACATGATAGCTGAATGAAGTCAAATGGAATAGAGAGGTACACAGAGTAGCAACTAAAAGTTTGACTCCCCATCTCACTCTCCAAGAGCGCTCATGATTTACAGTTTGGGAATATAACCTTCTATAAGACACACATAACAAAATTATATATTTTAAAATGAACATATTCTGTCTATTCCTTTGTAAACCTACTTTTTTTCCCTGTTCAAATTGTTGTAGATTCTTTTATCCTTTTTAATAGCTGCAGAGTGTTCCACAGAATTTGTGTGTAACCTACTTAATTTAACTTCCTTTAATCAATCCCAAGCTGATGATGGAAATTTGTTTTCAGTTTGGGGAAACTGCTAACAATTGCAATTTGATTTGTTGATAGCCTATCCCTTCCCTCTCAGCTAAGTAGCAACATGATGGCCCAGGAAGCTTTGAGAAATATTCAGATGAAGAGATCTGATAGGAGATTCAACAGCTTAGCCCCAGTAAGAGCTATTTATGGGCTACAGGTGGAAGGAAAATCGAAGAATGTCATGAAAAGTCTGCCACATAACCTAATGTATTCTGGGAAGATATATCTCCAGGTACCAAAGGGAGGCCCCAAATTCAACCTGGTTCTTGCCCCTCCTCCCCCAACACACTACCATTTCTTACCCTCACCTCCAATTTTGCAGTCCAGCCAAATGCAACTACTCTGAGTAAGTTTCATGTGCCTGCCTCTGGGCTTCTGTACATCCAGCTTTCTCTGGTGTACAGTTTCTTCTTTCTGCTGTGCTAATTTTTAATGACTCAACTCTGGTTTCCCTTTTTTTTTTTTTCATATCCAAGTCTGGGTGTGCAACTTCTCTTCTGGCCTCCCATCACACCCTTTATTTACCCTTGGTAGCACTAATAACACAAAGATTATCTCCTTACTACCTGTGTTTACATAAACTCCACTGGGGCAGAAGCCATGTTTTTCTCATGGCTGTATCCCTACAGTGGTGGCAAGAGTTATTTAGTTGCTTAATCATGTCTGACCCTTTGTGATTCTATGGACTATAGCCCACCAGGCACTTCTGTCCATGGGATTTCCCAGGGAAGAATACTAGAGTGGGTTGCCATTTCCTTTTCCAGGGGATCTTCTTGACCCAAGGATCAAACCTGCATCTCCTGCATTGCAGGCAGATTCTTTGACCACCAGGGAAGCCAGTGGCAAGTAGTAAGTACTTAACAATATGTTAAACATTGTAACAGTGAATAATACTATAACAGAGAGGGACAGAAAGTTGCTATAATTGAGGGCTCTGAGCTGGTCTGGGCTTAGTCAGGGGAGCTATTCCAGAAGAAGTGACTGCAAGAAAGCTGAAGGATAAATGCAAATAACTATGGCATAGGGAAAAGATGAACGTTTCAGGAAGAGATAACAGCATGTGCAAAGGCTCTGTGGTGAGTGGTTTCTTGGAAATTTTGAAGACCTTAAAGAAGGTCATATAACTGGAGGGAGAACAGGAAGGAAATGTATGGTTAGACTGGAGGTTGGAGAGGTGGGCAGGAGCCAAGTTGTTGCTGCTGCTAAGTCACTTCAGTTGTGTCCAACTCTGTGCGATCCCATGGACTGCAGCCCACCAGGCTTCTCTGTCCACAGAATTCTCTAGGCAAGAGTACTGGAGTGGGTTGCC